GTCCTAAACTGAGCTGTACAATTGGATTAAAACTGTATGAAAAGAAAACCAGAGGAAATATTTTGGACATAGATATTTTTCAGAAGCTTCAAAGTATTTGTGGCACAAAATCTGTATTACAATGGGTTGCTAAAACAAACACAGCATATATATTTTCATCTTTGTAAATATGTTTCTTGTTCTTCCCTCTTTTTAGTACAGAGATCAGAATTAAGTTTTGAGACTAAACATAGTTTTTAAATGACTTTTGTGTTAAGTAAAATAATTGACAATTCATATACGTGTAAGATGTTTAGCATCTGCAGCTGGGATGACTCTGACCAAGTGTGAGTTCTAAAACTATATCTATATTAGCAATTAAAACAGCACATAGGGATTAGGTCTGTAGCGCAAGAAGTCTATGCTGGGGACCCAGTGTCTGTATAGCATTCATTGAGGGAGTTAACGTGGGCTAATTCTATAATTCTAGTCTGGTCAACAGACTGAATGATCATTGGAAGTTGGAGTGCTTTGGGTGCGTGCCTGGAGTACGTCTTTCGGTTTGATTTCATCTGGAAGGAATGCTGTTTGTACACTGTGATCACTCTGTGGTGTTAACCACAATACGATCAGTGGGGAAGACTAGAAGATACAACTCAAAAGAGCATTCCAAATCTAAAGTAAAGCATAGTGACATATTGAGACAAGGGAAAAAAACCCCTTAATTGGTATGTTTCAGAGTGCTGTGAGATTGTTACATGAAAAGGGTTTTTAATGTTTATTTATAAAATTTTCACTTTGGTGGAAATGCTGTCTCCAAACCATGTCAGGTACTGGTGGGTTCCTTTACTTTGGGAGGTTGTGTGTATTATTTTCTTATACTTTAAAGGAAGTAAAATGTTACAGAATAAGCTAAGTCTGTGGTTAGTGTCTCAAGGGCTAAAAGGAAAGGGAAGTGAAGTAGGAAAAAAAGCTAAAGGCACATAAATAATACTTAGCTTCTCTACTTACCGTACAGAGCAGGGAATTGTTTTCTGCTATAGAGTATAATTCTCAACATATTCTTAAGACATAAAAATGAAAGCAAGGGTATTGTAGCTATCACAGAATCACAGAATGGTAGGGGTTGGAAGGGACCTCTGTGGGTCATCTAGTCCAACCCCCCTGCTGAAGCAGGATCACCTACAGCAGGCTGCACAGGACCTTGTCCAGGCGGGTGAAGAACACAAGGACGGAAAAATGTCAGTAATTGATTTGCATTAAGAATGAAGGATCCCACTGAAGTAATTTAACTTTCAGACCAGGTAGACTTGATCTGTAGGTCTGCAAAATGCTCATAATGTGGCATCCATGCATATTGAATTGATTTTAAAAAACTTCAGGCTTGAAAATGGAATTATTATATTTGGAATTCATGTATTTTATTAATATTAAAATAGTACAAAAATGTTTAATATAATATAGTAAGAATCTAAAGAATAATGGATTATTTTTCTAACCTACCTGTACAACAACTGTTATGCTTCAAATCTTTTTACGGCTAGAAAGGAGACACACCTGATCAAACATAAAGCCAAAATTTATTGTTACTATATGGAAATCTTGTAGAATCATAGAATCATAGAGTCATTATGTTTGGAAAAGACCTCGAAGATCATCAAGCCCAACCGTCAACCCACCACCACCACGCCTACTTTAGCAGTCTAGTCAAAGAATTATTATCAGTACAGGTTTAATAGTTAAAAGAAGAATGAAATAAAGGATACTATGCTACAAAAGGTCCCAATGTAGTTAAATATGTTATACACCTGCTAACAACTACCTCTATTTCTCTTGTTATTGTCAGTCTTCCACTGTCCTTCTTGGTCCTGAGGTTGGCAGGTTCAAGGGAGGCATGGTAAGGTGAATAGCCATTATCCTGATTTCTTCACCAGGAAGAGTATGACATTCATATTGATGTTTTCTTCTCTCTCACTCTAGCATCCACTTTGGGTAATTTTTACATGTTTTCCAACACAGTTTACACCTTCCTCTTCCTTCATTCATCTGCAAGCCCATGATGCATCCAAATTTACTATATATAGCACATATTGCATGTTTTAGATATTTCTTCATTGCTTTGTCATCCATAAGACCATCTTTGTCCAGCTCCTGTGTCTACATTTCTTTAACCGACCATTGGTGAGTTGTTTAGTCTTGGTTCTTCAGTATTAGGCTGTGGCCTGTATGTTAACATCCCATGCCTGGCCTCCTCTGTTCTATAGGCTGTGTCTTTACATCTGAAGGCCTCTGCTGTCATGCCATGTCTGTATTTCTCTACATAATTATCTTAAAGTCATAAATATTTCATTTTACCTAGAAGAAATTATTGTTACTACTGTCTATATAAAGCTATATTTATACTGTATAAAGATAAGAAGGAACTAGGCGTAATGATGAGATGCATCCCAGAGTCCTGAGGGAACTGGCTGACGTAGTTGCCAAGCCA